AGGGAATCCTGGGATCTCTGCCTCTCTCTTCGCGCGTGCCCTGGGCCCCTTCGCGAGCACGCGATCCTGGGCCCTCCCGCGAGGGCGCGCGGGCCCCTGCCGCCGTGGACCAGCTGGACTGAGGCCCCGGCCGCCTGGCGGTCGGCGCGCCTCGCGCGCTCGACGTGCGCCGAGCGGTGCGACGTGCTTTTGATGGCTCGTGAGGAGCTCCTCCTCCTCCTCCTCCTCCTCCTCTCCCTCCTCCTCCTCCTCCTCCTCTTCTCCTCTTCTCCTCCTCCTCCTCCTCCTCCTCCTCTTCCTCCTCCTCCTCCTCCTCCTCCTCCTCTGCTGCCCTCACCTCCTCTCCTCCTCCTCCTCCCCCTCCTCCTCCTCCTCCTCGTTCCTCATCCTCCTCCTCCTCCTCCTCCTCCTCCTCCCTCTCCCCTCTCCGGTCGGCGTGGGAGGCTCAGGCACTTGGAACCCCGACGGAGGGAGATTTCCTTTGAAACTCACACGACTTCCGCCCCACACTCTTACGGCCAGACAAGGATCAGGGGGGAATGAAGGACGGATGGCGATTGCATGGATATCGATATGCGCATTGATGAAGCTGGTCTTTTACAACCCGCTGGCGGCGAGTACCACGGATCGACTGGATGAGATTAGCAGTGCTTTTCGGGAATGGGATGTGATGGTGCTGACGGGGACGCACCAGTGGGCAGGGCCAGGACCGATAAAGAAAACTAGCCGTAGATACCATGTTGCACTGCAGTTTGGGGCAAGAAATGGGACATGGGTTTGTAAGGCATGCGGGACGACGTTCATGGTGTCCCACGAGATGATTAAGGACAAAGCGCTCTACACGCAGTACACCCCACCGGCTCAACTTCGAGGGTGGACCAGCAAGGGTGAGATTGCGTACCAAGGCGTACGATGTGATTTTATTCGCGACGTATTTGCCGACTGAGAAGGGGTACACCAATCACGGGACGATTTCCCCCAAAATCATGAAACGGGTGGAAGAGAGGCGTGATGAGACTGGTGGCAGATCGACTGTCATAGCGGGGGGAGACATCAAAAGTCAATCGGGAGTGCACAGGATGGAAAACAGGGACCTGGCTGTCTGCATGCATTTGTCGGCCAAACATGCAGCATCATTGGGACCAGGTGCAGGAGAGGTGAAGACGACAACGGCGCAGCATTCCGGATTTTTTGCGCACGCAGTCTATTGTCAGTAGCCACGATTTTTGACGAGCGCGGTCCAGTTTACTACTGTGTCAGTGACGACACGGTACGCACTAGCAAGATTGACCACATTGCGGTACCGACTGGAGCCCTACCACACGTGCGACGGCGCACAGCCCTGCGGGGAGTGGCCAGACAGCTTTAATTCATCAAGTCGGGAGGACACCGAAACCACATTCCACTGGGCCTAGACATTGGGTTAGAGTAATTTCATGCGCAGATCCAGGCAACTGAGGGCAAACACAGATGTGGACCGCAACGTGCTGACGGAGTGCTTGAGCAGAGTGTGTCAGCGAGCAGAATTCTCGGGAGCATTTGACCGTGGCCTGAAGTCGGCGGCCGCCCCGCAGCCGGGAGGTGCACTAGCGGGGATATCTCGGAGTGAGGACCCTGGGAAGCGAGACGCGGCGGCTGCCCCGCAACCAGGAGGAGCATTAGCGGGGATATCTCGGAGCGCGGCCCAGACGTGCTGCGCGGCGCTGCCTCCGCAGCTTCGACAAGGGAGTTCGACGGGACCGTCACTAACGGAGGAATCTCGGAGAGCGGACCCTGGCTAGCGAACGTCGGAAGAGGAATGGAGGAGCTCCAAGTTCCAAGGCCGCCCAGCAGCAGACCAAATGTGGAGGAGATGGAGCGAGGCTGGTAGAAAAGCGATGAAGGAGATCTCCTCAGCCAGAAAGAAAAATGCTGCCCCTGGAGTGGCAGGGTTTCAGAAATTGCAGAGTTGCTCATTGGCTGAGCGGGTGCAACTGAGGATGGGCACGGCAAACTCAGAGACGAGCGAGAGGTTGGAAGAGATCAAGGGGGAGCCAGGGCATATACAGGACGTGCTTAGGAAGCATGGGGGCGCTCCGGGGTGCCCCAGAAGAAACGACGAGATTGTCCGAGGAGATTTGGCAGGCGCGCGAGAACAACAACGTCAGCGGCATGCGCAGACTAATTATAGCATACCAACGGAATGGGAGCGGGCACTTGGTGGGACACAGAGGAGTGGTGAAAGGGGACTTGGGGCGCACCCCCACGTTGGGGGCTTGGCTGCGGCGCCACTGGGCCTGGAGGAGTACGAGCAGGAGCGCGATGAGATGCTCGCCGGGAAGATGCCACTACAATTGGATGGGAATTTGAGAGCGCAGGTGGAAAGGGGCAGACGGGACACGCTAAAGCGCTGCAAGACCGCTGCAAGAAGAAGATGGGCCTGTTCCCTATGGGGCGCCCCAGTGGCACTTACATGAGTGATATTGGGCCCCGCGGTCAGCCTGGCTGACAGAGAGCTGCTGGGCAGGAAGCTGGAGGAGCAGAGGATTTGAGCAGCTAGGGCGATGCAACGGCGCATGGGGCGGGGGGCAGGCAGGGCACTGGGTCGGGCGGGGCGCGCTGGCAACGGCGAGGCGCTGCGGGCGAGTGAGAGGCAAGCGCGCCGCCTAGGGGGGAATGGGAAGGCTGGGCTGGGGTCGACAGCGATGGGGGCCGATGCAAGTCTGGAGCGCAGGAACACGCTGGGGGGACATCCTCATCGAGCGTCGCCAGTCTCAAGCTACGCCGTTGGAGCGGCACAGGTCGATATCTTTTTCAGCCGGAAAAGGCGCAACCAAAAAAGGCACTGTGGAAACTTTCATTGGGGGGGGCCCATTGCAGAGGACAAGCGCCGCGCCACCCTCGCCGGGCACAAGGCGGTCTTCGGAACAGGACAGGGGGCTATGCGATAGCCTGCGTGGAGGCCACGCAATCGAGAGCGATGCAGGCAGGGATCCGCACCGTCGCCAGCAACTACGACTGCGCCAACGCCTTCGCGAGCTCGAAGCGCAGCCTCCTGCTGGCCTCAGCCTTCGCCGCGTCGAAGGAGGAGGGTCTGCCCTTCGCAATCGAGGCGTTTAACTTTACTGCGATGAGTACGCAATGCGCCGACGACTGGGCTCACGCGCTGACCGCGCAGGGCGCGCAGATAGGTTGCGCTTTGCGCCCGCGAGAATTTAGTGACACTTGCAATATCCACTCGGGACGACCACGCCACGTAGGGAAGGGGAAGGGCGAGATGCAAACAGCGCACGACGCGATGAACCCGATAACGGAGAGGGAGCGCGACCTTTCGCTCGACGCGCTCCCGCGCGACATCACCAAGATCCACGCGGTGCCATCGATAGGCCCGCCTTCGAAGACGCAGGGGCAGACTGGGGTTGGCGAGGGAATCTCGGAGCACCAGCCAGCTCTCGGTGAAAACGAGGGCATCTCGGCTCGCCGGGGCGCGCCAACTGGGAGGGGGGGTTGGGCCTTATCTAAGGCAGGCAGGATTGCGGCGCAGATTGGCGCCACCACCGAGCGCCTCGAGCGCAAGTTGGCCAGGGGGCGTCGGGGTCTCAACCCAGCCGAGGCCAACCATTTGGTTTCTTCGGGGCCCAGTGCGCGACGGGGTCACGCGACTGCTTCAAAGGGAAGGACGGCTCAAAGGCACGCCGGCGAAGGAGATGCGAGCAATGGGCCCCTACTTACCAGGCGACCAAAGCCACGCGGGAGAAATTAGAAGCGGGTGCGAGGCCATGCAGGTAGCCTACAGGCAACGCGGCTGTTTTTGGTATCCAGATACTCCGGGGGAAAAACACATGGTCCAGGCGCTCGTATCGGGCGCGGGCCTCAGCGGGCCGTTGGCGCTCGTGCTCGCGGACCCCCGCGACGACGCGCTGGGCCGCATCATGGCAATGCTGCTGAGAAGGATGGCTGGAGGCAGGATGGGCTGGACAGAAGAGGATGAATCGACCAGATGCCACTCCAACAGTGAGGTATTCAAGTGGTGGAGGATGCCGCGCCGAGCCACCGCATTGCGCATCCGCAGGCTACGATGGCACCTGAGAGCTTTGGCCGTGTACTTGCTTGCGGTGGCGCGTGGAACATCGGAGCTGGATCGTCTTTGCGGTGCCAAGCGGCCGGACAATGAAAGAGCATGCGAGGCGCCCGCGCCCCGGGCCCAGCAGGTGGTCAATGATTTTCAGGCGCTGGCGGGAATTGGCGAGGACGTGCCAAACTTGCGCCCGCAGAGGCACTCAGACATACCCACGAACCACACTCGCGCAAGGGATGGGTGCTCGGGTAGGCACGGAGCCCAGCCTACTACGACACGCTGGGCATATATTGGGCGCTACCCTACCAGAGGTCCCCGATGGGGGCGATCGACGATCTCTTCACCCCGTTTTGGCGCGACTGCGGGCTGGGCGCGGGGGGGCAGGCGCGCGGGGCGCAATTGGCGGCAGCTGCGGCGCTGGCGGCGCGCAGGAGAGCGGCGCGCCGCTGTCAACCGCTGGCCCCCAGCCGAATGGTGACCAACCAGCGCCCCAAAAGCGGTTGACCATGTCATGGGGGCCGCGGAGAGCCGCGGGATTTGTTATAACAAACATAAACATTTTGAACCACTCAGTGCAGGGGCCCCCTTCCATCGGCTGCTCCCTCTGTGGCTATCAGGCCCCCCGCTGCCGCCGCCGTGGCCCCCGCGGCGCCTCGCCCCCCCAAAGACGGCGAGCGCTCCCCAGAAAAAAGGAACAACAACAAAAAGAGGGGCCGCCGCGGAGATGCATGGGGGGGGGGGGGGGGGGGGCGCCCCATGGGCGGCGAGGGAGAGGGCAAGGGCCAGTGGGCAATGGGCGCGGCCAGCGCCGAGGCAGCAGGGGGCGCGCCTTCGGCCGCGGCCATAGCAGCGGGGGGGGGCGGCAAGGGCGGGGGGAGAGGCCGCGGGCCCCCCCGCCAGCACCCCTAAGCAACGGGAGACTACGAGGATCCCGACCCCAGAGGAAGCATCAGCGGACTCCAGCGCATGGCCCTCCGATCCGCGGCAGAGATGCGAGAGATGAATCACCTGGCCGCGGAAATTGACCTCGTCCCAGTCAGCGCACGGGCGTTTCGGAAGTCATTGGCCGCGGGCCGCCGCTTCGGAACCTTGGTCAGGGAGCGGGGCGGCAAGGGGCGCCTGCTCGGACCGCCAGGCGCCCCCCGCGCGGGGATGGCGCCCACGGAAGGCACCTTGGAGACAGTGACGGGATGGCAGAAAGAAGATGCCGCATCAGTGGAAGCATTCATGATCTGGGCGATCGACGCGCTGAACGACTTCTTGTCGTTGGTGGACGGCAGCGACGCCTACGACCGGGCCATGGTCACCGAGGCGATCAAACTGTGCCAGGTCAGCGAGAGCTACAGGGTTCGCAACAGCAAGAACAATCACCCAAACGAGGAAGAGCAAATCTGGGGGGAGGGCATGGGCAACATTCAGATCAGCATCGACGCGACCCCCAAACGTTCGAGCGGCGCTCCCGAAAAGGCGCGAACGAGGAGACTCTGGAGAAGCTAGACCAGTTCTTTGGCCACGACCTGAAGAAGGCAGTTGTGGTGTTGATCGCGTTCGTGGGCGGCAAGAAGTCTTAGACGGCGGAGCCCATGGTGGAGTTGGAGAGGGTGGCGGAACGCAAACTCCAGCGTCGGCGCCGCGGAGATAGGAGTGGGCGGCTGCATCGGCGAGGGCGCCTCGGAGCGCAAGAACCCCGGGGCCGCGTGCCAGACCGCGGCCGACGCGTGCAAGCACTTGCGCGGCCCCCTTCCCGAAGGCGCCCGCTCCGAGCTGCGAGGGCGCCGCCTCTCCAGAGGCGCCCCCGGCGCAGACGGGCCTCGCAGGAGTTCCCCATTGCGGGCGAGCGAAACGGCACCTCTCCAATGAGGGACATATCGCGGAGGCAATCAGCATGGATGTTGATCGCCTCACTAAGCTCAGACACATGCTTCCCAGTGGCAGGGCGCGCGCAATGGCCTTCAAGTTTCGGGCTGGAGAGGAAGCAGGGTTGCAGAGGAACGCCCCGGGACGAGGCTTCCCAGGCAGCAGCCAGTCTTCCCACCCCAGTTAGTAGCATGCGTCTTCCATTGTGACGACACGACATTTCTCGGCTTCCCCTTTGCCCCCCATCCCTTTACAGTTGCAGCGATGCGGCGCGTCTGGAGCTCTGCGTACTTTGCAGGCATCAGACAGACAATGTAGCGATCAGTCACGGCAAGCAGGGGTTCAGGAGTGGGCCCCGACTCCCTTGGGGCCGCTGGACACATCGCAGCATTTCGGAGAGCAGAAAACCCCCGTCGAGCACCATCAGCCCCCGCAGCCCATCCGGCTCAATCACGGCCCAGGTGCGCATCGGCACTCGCGGGGGCATCTCGCAGCGCGGGGCGCAGAGGGCTGCCCGTGGCCTTTGCCAGCAGCGAAAAGCAGTTGCCATGCGGCCGACGCGGCGAGGGGTACGGATGCTACAGGATGATGGAGAGCCGCAGGCAGCGCGCCAAGCACGAGTCAGGACGTGAACGAGACCAAGGAGGAACATGAAGTCAGTGGAAGAGGGCGCGCATCAACTGCGAGTTGGCTCTCAGGCAAAAGTGGATCGAGTGGAGCGACGAGGAGAACCCTCGCCATGGAGGAAAGAAGTACATCACGAAGGAACAAGTGTGCCGTGAGCAGAAGCAGCGAGCAAGGGGCATCGCGTGGACGGCTCAAACTGTGGCAAATCCAGGCAGCGAAGGCGATCATCGAAGCAGAGGAGGAACCCGAGAATAAGTCACGCAATCAGAGGAACAAGCAGGTCAGCGGTCCAAGGAGGCGTCGAAGGCTCTGGCGGAGGGCATCAAGAAGAACGGGTGTATCTCCGTGGACTGCAGCAAGGCTGGAGAGAATATGGCGATTGCCCTGAAGTGCGCGGAAGAGTGCGACACCATGCTGCGCAAGTACATGCTCATGGACATGGCAGACGAGGAAGCGCTGAAGACAGCCAAGCAAGAGCTGGAAGAGAAGGAGAAGGAACTGCGCGCACTCGGCGACTACAAGACGTGAGAGAACATGGAAGCGAAGCAGACACAGTACCTAAGGCGCTCGACTTCGCGGACAAGTGGAGCGACAGCATGCAGTTGTTCAGCGCGCGTAGAACACGGGCTGGGACGCGAACAAGGAACTGCGCCCGCTCGCGCGGGCTGGCCTGCCCCAACAAGCTGCGGCGGAGAGACCCCGGCGCTGCCTCGGGGGGGGGGGGGGGGGGGGCAATGGAAGTTCCGGTGCGAAGTGGACTGGCAGGCGCTTGCGACGGCGCAGAAGAGCTTCCCCGAGGACGAGTTCATGGAATATTGGGTGGACAAGATGCAGAAGGACTTCAACGAGGACTACGAGAAGTGTGCCGAGACCGGCTGCAAGCCGAAGCACCACCCGCGCCGCAATGGGCCATCAATGGTGGTGGAGCTCATCGCAGGCGAGAGGTGGGAGGCGTTCGTAGCTGAGAGGCTGCCGCGTGGGCTCGACGACGCCATCAAAGGGCACCGCTACTAGTTCTACGACGCGTTACGACGCGGCCCAGAGGCTGAGCCCAGAGGATCTGCAGAAGCTTATCCCACCTGCCTTCCAGATGACGCGCCAAGTCAAGGGCTGCGCGCTGGTTGCATAGTACCCAGTGGATGCGCGGGAAGCAGCAGGAAGGAAGTATTTCTCGACGCGCAGCCGGTGCGAGCGCGCGCTGCGAATCGTGCAGAACGACGCGGAGAACCGACAGAGCGTCATGGAGATAGCCGCGAGGGAGCTAAAGGCAGCCGCGGAGCTCGAGCAGCAGGGGGCTGAGGGGCTCAAGAAACGTCAGGAGCTCCGCGACAGCACGAACACCCGGCTGGACGGCGCCGAGATCTTCGAGATGCGCGCCGAGTTAGGTGAAGCGGCCAGCTCCAGCGGCCGCGCGTGAGGGCGCCCACTTGCACGGCCAGGAGGAGCACTAGCGGGGGCATCTCGGAGTGCGACCCCAGGCAGGCAGGACGGCGCAGCCCCAGCGGCGACAGATGGACTCAGAGAGGCCGTCACTAGCGGGGGCACCTCGGCGCGCGGACTCTTGGAAAAGGAGCTTGCACATATCGGCGTCTTTGTATTTTTTGGAGCGCCGACACGCGCGCCACACCGGGACGACAAGTGGAAAGCGAGGTCCCCCCAAAGGCCACTAGTGTGTGCCCTCAAGGAGCCCTCCTCCCGCGGAACGACAGCGGTGCGCGATCAGCATCGCAGATTGGGGAAGCCTCTCACACGCCGTGACACTAGTATGTTTGCTCGCTCCTACTTACACGCCGAACGGAGGAGTACATCAGAGGTGCAATTTGAGTTCTGCAGAGGATTTTGATACAGAATGCTGCGGCACAGGACTGTGTCAGACACGACATTGCATGTCTCAACCATCGGCCAGCACGTCCAGGAAGAGAAATGAGCCTAGAGAGGGAGGAGCTCTGTTCGAAGCGCGGGCACAGCAGGACGCAGGTATCAGAATAATTCGGCCCCCTCCAGCAAAAGCTTGGCTCGAAGGGGCCTCCTGCATCCTTTCCCCTCTGCCCTGCGCCGAGTGAGGTCGCGTCGTCGCCCCCCCCCCCCCCCCCCTCTGCTTGGGGGCCCTGCTCGCCCAGCGCGCACCCATCGGAATGGGCGCGCGAAATGGCCAACAGCTGCTCCCCCCGCGCTGACCCGTAGGGACTCGTACTCACAAGGTAGCGAGCCTCTCGTACGTGGACACCTCGGAGCTCGCCCCTTGGAGCTTCGGGGCATGCCCCCTACCAGCCCCGTGAGAAGACTGGGTCTACGGCGTACTCAACGCGCAGGGGATTTTGCCAGTCGTACCCCACAGCTCCTTTGTTGGCGCGTCGGCGTTGTCCCCCATATGCGGATGTCTTGTCCTGTCCTGTCTCCCCTCTCCCCTCTTCTCCTCCTCCTCTTCCTCCTCCTCCTCCTTCTCCTCCTCCTCCTCCTCCTCATCCTCCTCCTCCTCCTCCTCCTCCTCCTCCTCCTCCTCCTCCTCCTCCTCCTCCTCCTCCTCCTCCTCCTCCTCCCCCTCCTTTTACTCCTCCTCCCCCTCCTCCGTCTCCTCCTCCTCCACCTCCTCCTCCTTTTCCTCCTCCTCCGCTTCTTCCGCCTCCTCCTCTTCCCCCTGCTCCTCATCCTCATGTTCCTCCTCCTCCTTCTCTTCCTCCTTTTCCTCCTCCTCCTCCTCCTCCTTTTCGTCGTTATCCGTCTCCTCCTTATCTTCCTTTTTCCTTCCTCTGTTTCCTCCGCCTCTTCCTTTTCTTCCTCCTTTCCCTCATCCTCTCCCTTCTCCTCCTCCTCCTCCTCCGCCGCCTCTTCCTCCCCTGCGGCGGGTTGACAAGCGATACGTTGTGCGACGTGTTTCTGGTTGCTTGTGAAGAGCCCGCGTACGGCCAGACCGAGGTATAAGATTCTCTGAGATCTTGACGTCTCGTTTTTCCTCGGGCTGGGCATTTTCGCTGGGGTTCGGTCCTTGGGACCCTCACATATCGATTGGGATTTAAAAGTGGCGCAGAACGATGCGGCCTGGGGATCTGGTGGCGATCCACGCGATGTCTCAATTTGCTCGTGCTGTCGGATCTGACGGCCGAGGTCGGCTAGGGGGGGTCCTAATGATATCCGTGTTGATCGAATGTTATTGTGCATCTTCGGGGAGGTTGCCCTCGAATGCTCTTCGGTTTGGCCCCGCCCATGGTCTCATGTTTTTGTAGGGTGTTTTATATGTTTTTGGTCTGCCTGTAGTCAGAGGCAGAACAGGTACCTATACTGCTACCCGTGCATCGGTTTCGCCCGCTCGGGCCTCCCGGCGGAGGCCCTCGTCGCCACTGGTGGATCCGCTTCGGGATTTTTGTCAGGACGCACCCTGGGAGAGGTCCAGGGAGTAGCGGCATCGGTACCTGTTGATTTTCCCGCTGGTGGCTCGTGAGGAGCTCGAGTGCGAGGTCCACGAGGAGGCTGTCTCGGCGCCCGACGCTGGGCTCGCGCCGCCGGGGTCTGAGTCACCCATGCCGCGTTGGCGTCGCCACCGGACCTCCCATGGCCTTTCGCGCCGTGGAAAAAGGTAGCGGCCGGATGTTTCTCGGCCGTTTTCGATTGGGGCGTTGAGTGATGGGGGGCGGGCATCCGTTTTCCGAACATCGAGACCCCCCCCCGACGATGCAGCGCGATCGGAATCCATTTGAATTTCGCGCGCGAGATGCCAACGCGGCCATCGCCAGATTTCGCGCGCCAAACGCTTGTTTTTCGAGCGTCGACGTTTCGAGTGCGTAGTGGGTTGGCGAGGCGAGTATTGGGGGGGGCACCTTTTGTTCCCCCACGGGATTTTTTTAGGCCCCCCCCCTTGGGGCCCAAAAGGGGCACGAAAGGTGAGTGTTTCTTCGCCCCCAACCTCCTCTTCCCCACTAAGCAACAAGTCCCTCCTCCTCCTCCTCCTCGTCCTCCTCCTCCTCCTCGTCCTCCTCCTCCCCCTCTCCTCCTCCTCCTCCTCCTCCTCCTCCTCCTCCTCCTCCTCCTCCTCCTCCTCCTCCTCCTCCCCCTCCTCCTCCCCCTCCTCCTCCTCCTCCTCCTCCCTCCTCCTCCCCCTCCTCTCCCCCTCCTCCCCCCTCCTCCTTTCCTCCTCTCCTCCTCCCTCCCCCCTCCTCCCCCTCCTCCCCCTCCTCCCTCCTCCTCCTCCTCCCTCACTCCTCCTCCTTCTCCTCCTCCTCCCTCCTCCTCCTCCTCCTCCTCCCCCTCTCCTCCCTCCTCCTCCTCCTCCTCCTCCTCCTCCTCTCCTTCCTCCTCCTCCTCCTCCTCCTCCTCCTCCTCCTCCTCCTCCTCTCCTCCTCCTCCTCCTCCCCCTCTCCTCCTCCTCCTCCTCCTCCTCCTCCCCTCCTCCCTCCTCCCCCTCCTCTCCCTCCTCCCCCTCATCCTCCTTTTCCTCCTCCTCATCCTCCCCCCTCCTCCCCCTCCTCCTCCCCCTCCTCCCCCTCCTCCTCTCTCCTTCTCCTCCTCCTCCTCCTTCTCCTCCTCCCCCTCCTCCTCCTCCTCCTCCCCTTCCCCTCCCCACGTATCGCCCCCCCAGTAAGCAGCACCTACTTCGACAGTTTTTGCTGGCCGGGGTGCTTTCCATCCGCTGCGCCTCGCCGAGATCAGGGGCAACGATTGGGGGGGACAGGCATGGGGGAGGATGCATCGACCCCCAATCGCCCATTGATCGCCGATAAGGGCCCGATAGCCCCAACCTGCCCGGGAACGTTCGGATTCACTATCGGAGGCCAATCGCCGATCTATCGACGATGTATCGCCGATTCCAGGTCGATGCATCCCCCCTATGCCTATCCCCCCCTATCGTTGCCCCTCACGAGAGCGTTTTGGGGGCGCCAGGATCCTCCCGAATGTCTGAGGCAAGAGGTGCCCCCAACGAGACCGAGCATCGTCCCAGGATGCATCCAACATCGCCACACGTGTGAAGCAACCAGCCAACATGGAGATTCCGAGGTGTTTGTGCCCCGATGCTCGTCTCACTGTCTCCAACTCAGGCTTGATGTGGTTCCACGAGGCTCTCGAGGAGGGACCCGGGCGAGTCAACGTTGGGCCTTCGGACGCCTCGAAGAGTGTCTGGGACGCCTCGGCGGGACTCCGAAGACGGCAGCTTTGCGCGAGGCGTCTTCTTGCAACGGAGACGTTGGAGGAGCTGTTATTCCAGAGGCTTACTTCATTCCGCTCGCCCCCAGACGAGGGATGAAGTCAACGGGTGAGGCCTGTTGGGGCCTTTTCGGGACTCTCCGGGGCCTCTTCCGGGCCTCTTGGGGCCCATTCGGGCTTCTTGGGCCAACTTGGGAGCTTCTTGGGCGCCTGCTGCTTGCTAGCGGAAACGTTGAAAGAGCCGTTATCTTGAGCACGCACCGTTGGCTCCGAGATGTGCCTAAGATGGTCTAGGAGCTTAACTGCCTCGATACGCCCGCTTTGAAACGCAACACGTACCGTGCTTAAAACGTCCGTGTCAATACGTTGCGTGTTGGCCCAGCGTATTGACCCACGTTTTGGCGAACGTACCGCGTCAGACCTACGTTTTCAGTCTACGTGTGGAGCTCCGGATAAGTACGCTACGTGTTGCGTGTTGCGTAATTTTTCGGGGCAGCTAAGTCTAGGAGGGCTCCACGAGAGCCAACAACAGAGATGGCAAGGCGGGCCTGCACGACGGCAGGCCTGGGCAACCTGTGTCTCCCCACGTTGCTGTTCGAAGAGCGAGGAGCTGACGAGGAGACGCGACTAGAACGATGGGGAAGACATGTGCATAATAGGAGCGCCGAGGAGCAATGAGGGGCGCTGAGCAGACAAGGAGGAGCAGCGAGGAGGCGGACGCGACGAAGAATGGGAGAAGGATGGGAGGCAGGTGGGAGATGAGAAGGACCGCGGGAGGGAACGCAGGAATGCGAAGATCATAGCAGTAAGGACGCGCGTGCAGCACAAAGCAGCAGCAACAATCTCCGAACAGCATCAAGCAGCCGCGAACGACGGCTGCCAGCAGCATTAGCAACAATGAGCTCAAATATCAGCGCTTCCCGTTGTTCCCGAAGTGTGATTCCCACATCGGCATTTCGGTTTGGACATCTCCTCCTCGTCTAGACGGAGTGCACGTCAAAGGGGATGTGTTGTAAGCTTGACTCTTGGGTCCGACCAGGGGTCCGATCTAGAGAGCTCCGAGAGAGTACCAAGAGATCCCAAATTGGACCCCATGATTTATTCCAATGAGATATCCGAACAGGAGCAATGCCGGTTCAAGTGCGTGTGTGTGCTGGCAAGGGTGTTTGCTCACTCCGTGACACATGGCCTCCTTTGCTGACAGGGCACAAGAACTTGCGTCAGCAGAGTGGTAGAGCTATGGCGTTGGTGCTGCTGATTTTGTTTGGCGGCGCAGTGACAACATGTCGGGCTGCGAATCGGGATTTCTATGTGCGCGCCGAAGAGGTGATTTGGGATTATGGCCCAACCGGCAAGGATCTCATGACTGGCGAAGTTTTTGATGGCCATGAAGATGCGGACGTCTTCATGGTTAACCGACCTGTTGATCACCAGATTGGGCGCAAGTATTGGAAGTGCTTGTACTTCGCGTACCAGGACGGCACGTTCACGGTCAAGGAGCCTCGTCCAGAGTGGATGGGCTTGCTGGGGCCCACGCTGCGCGCGGAGGTGGGGGACTCTCTCGTGGTGCTGTTCCAGAACAACTGCTCAAAGGCGTTGACCATGCACCCGCACGGCGTGAAGTATACAAAGTCTTCAGAGGGTTCGCCATACTGGGATGGCAGCGACAACCGAGGCGACCACGTCGAGCCAGGGGAGACCTACACATACGTCTGGGTGGCGGACGAGAACGCGGGACCAGGCCCCGCCGATGGGAGTTCGGTCTGTTGGCCGTACCACTCGCATAACCCTTCGCGCGTTGACTCAAATTCTGGCCTTGTCGGCGCCATCGTGATCTCTCGTCGCGGAGCTGCCCGGCTTGACGCATCGCCCATTGACGTCGACCATGAGTTCGTGTTGTTCTTGTCCGTAGTGGACGAAAGCATGAGCTATTTGTTCGACAGGAACGTCAGGGAGTTTATCGAAGTTCCTCTCGGAGCGCAGTTCACTGACGAGGAGAGGAAGGAGCTTTACGGGGACGATGTTTTCCTCAAGGGCAACTTGATGCATGGAATGAACGGCTTTCTCTTCGGCAACCTGCAGGGTGTCTCTGTCCCTGCAGGTGAGCGCGTGCGCTTCTACGTGTTGGCGCTTGGCACGGAGACCGGCCTGTACTTCATGCACTGGAAGGGGCACACTGTCCTCCACCGCGGGCAGCGGGTCGCTGGCGTGCAGCTGTTTCCCGGCGCCTCGTCTGTCGCGGACATGTGGCCAACAGAGGCGGGTGAATGGGGCATGTACTCTCACACGGACGACCACATTGTGGGTGGCATGGTCACCACGTACAAAGTCGAGGGTCCCAGCATCAACAGATCCATGAACGGCAGGGTACGCCAGCACTTCGTCCAGGCAGAGGAGGTGATCTGGGACTATGGGCCTTCCAACAAGACAATGTTCGGCACCGACCTGAATACAGATGAGCATGCGGCGGTCTTTTTTGAGCACGGCAGCGGCATCCAGCGCATCGGCGGCAGGTACTACAAGTGCCTCTACAGGGCGTACACAGACGCGACGTTTTCCAGTAAAGCGCCCACCCAGGCTAAGTGGGATCACCTCGGATTCCTGGGGCCAGCTATCCATGCGGAAGTCGGTGACTCCCTGACAGTCGTGTTCAAGAACTTGTGCACCAAGGACGTTTCCATTAACGTCCCAGCTGTACTCAAGCCGAAGGAGCACGAGGGCTGGCATTATGGAAACGGCAGCACGCCGGTTGGCAGCGGCGTTGTGCCTCCGGGGGGCACGCACACGTACGAGTGGAAGGTGGTTGACGGCCCTGGCCCGCTGGACGCTAGCAGCATCGGGTTCCTCTATGTTTCTCACCAGCCCATGCACACCGACACCAACAGCGGCCTCGTAGGGCCACTCATCATCACCGCTTTCGGTGCCGCGAACGATGACGGAGAGCCTCTGGACGTGGAGCAAGAGATCGTGATCTTGACCAGCGTCACCAACGAGGGCGAGTCTTACCTCTTGGACAAGAACATTGATCACTTCATTGGCAGCATGTCGGAGCAGGAGAAGGAACAGCTCCTGGCAGACGGCAACTTCGAGGAGTCCAACCTGATGCATGGTGTTAACGGCTTCCTCTATGGGAACTTTCCCAGTCCGCAGCTGATTGCGGGCAAGAAAACAAGGGTGTATGGCATGGCCGTGGGCGCGGAGGCTGACATGCACTCGCTCCGCATTGCTGGCCATTCGCTACTCATCCGCCAGGAGCGTCGAGCTGAGCTTAGTTTGATGCCTGGCGACGTACTCGAGGCGGACATCCTCCCGACCGCAGGAACTTGGGCCATCTACTGCCACAACAACGACCACATCGCTGCTGGCATGATCGATCGCATCGAGGTGACCGAGAGTTCGCTGGATGACCCGCTGAGGGTAATGGCATCTTCCACGATAACGCGCAGGTACTACTTGCAGGCCGAGGAAGTCGCCTGGGACTACGGAGCGACCGCGTACGACAACACCGGCCAGTACGCCTACGTGCACGGGAACTACACACAAGCGAGAGGGCCCACGCCCTTCGAGCACGGAGATGGCTTCGCCTTCATGGTCAACAGCCCTGAGGATAAGCGGCAACGTTAGTCCTAGGAGGATAAAAGGTACCCCCACGGCGGCCCGAGGCATGAGATCGAGGTCGGTTCGGGGAGAGTGCCCTGATGCTCTGCGTGCTTGTTGGATGCTCTTGCGCATTCTGGGGGCGGGTACCCTCATACACCTTAGGCGATGCTAAAGAAAACGTAAGTTTTCGGCCAGAGTCTCGATTATTCTTAACGTTTCCATGCAAATCTTCAGATTTTAATGGAAACGTTGGGTTTTTTATTCAATTTCTGAGACTATGAATTTCTTAACCCATGATTTCTTAAGCATTTCGCAAAGTGTAAGTTCATCTGCTTGGCCGGTGGAGGGTCTCATGTTCTTGAACGATGCTCTTCTGTCTTAGGTCCTGCCGTATCGCTGGCCTTGCCTCGCTTTCCCCTTTTGTTGGCCTCCTGGGAGACCCTCGAGATTCTGGTCAGAGCGCACCCCCAGAGAAGTCCTGGGGAGTAGCTGTATGGGTACTTTTTGGGTTCCCCAGTCAGGGGTGGGCCAGCTCAAGGGGGGGAAAAACGACCTGGAGTCTCGAAGAAGAAAAACGCCAGAAACATAAACTTTTGGCGCTCCGCGCGGATTTCTTGGATCGCCGCTTGGGCCCCCCCGGCGCCGCCCCTGGCGCCGCCAATGGCGCGCTCCGCGCGCCAGGGAGGGGGTCCAGCGCGGATCCGAGAAATCCGAGCGGAGCGCCAAAAGTTTATGTGTGTGGCGTGTCTTTTTCTTCTGCTTCGTCTTCTTCTTCTTCTTCTTTGTCTTCTTCTTCTTCTTCTTCTTCTTCTTCTTATTATTATTTTTATTATTATTAATATTGTTTTTCTTGTCCTTCTTGTTCTTCTTCGTCTTCTTCTTCGTATTATGATTATTCTTCTTCTTATTTTTCTTGTCCTTCTTCTTCTTCTAGAGTCGGCGATGCGCCGCCCACGTGCACATCCGCGCGCTCCTGGGCGGCGGAGGGCCACCAGGCCCCATACGGTGGGGGCGTTGGTGAAGGAGTGTGCCCAGGAGGCCTCAGACCCCGGGGGATTCCTGATCTCGTGAGGGCGGCGGTGATGTCCATGGCCAGTCCACGATTGGAGCCCACTGGCGTCCAGACCCTGGATTCCTTGTTTGGGGTTAAGTCGGGCGTGTCTCTCCACAGGAGGAATATTCAAGTATCCCGGCAAAGCAACCTCACAGCGATGTGTATGAGCATATCTGGAAGCATTCCCCTTAAGATTCAGGTGAGAATCCAGTTGTAGAATTCTGCTGTTCTCGCAGTCGCAGTCGCATTCGCAATGACAGTCGCAGTGGCAACGGCCTTCGGATCCAATGGAATCCTAAGGATTCCTATGGATGCCTAAGGCATCCTTAGGCATCCGTAGGAATCCATAGGAATCCTTAGGAAACCTTAGGAATCCTTAGGAATCCTGATTCCTATGGATGTCTAGGGATTCCTGGGGAATCCTACGGATTCCGAAGGATTCGCCTGCCTCGGCGTCAACCTCAGTCTGCCTCAGCCTCAGCCTGCCTCAGCCTCAGCCTCAGCCTGTCTCAGCCTCAGCCTGCCTCAGCATCAGCCTCAGCCTCAGCCTCAGCCTGCCTCGGCTTGCCTCGGCCTCAGCCTCAGCCTGCCTCGGCCTCAGCCTCAGCCTCAGCCTGCCTCAGCCTCAGCCTCAGCCTGCCTCAGCCTCAGCCTCAGCCTGCCTCAGCCTCAGCCTGCGTCAGCCTCAGCCTCAGCCTGCCTCAGCCTCAGCGTGCCTCAGCCTGCCATAGCCTCAGCCTCAGCCTCAGCCTCAGCCTGCCTCGGCTTGCCTCAGCCTCAGCCCCAGCCTGCCTCAGCCTCAGCGTCAGCCTCTCAGCCTCAGCCTGCATCAGCTTCCTCCTCGGCCTCAGCCTGCCTCAGCCTCAGCCTCAGCCTGCCTCAGCCGCAGCCTGCGTCAGCCTCAGCCTCAGCCTGCCTCAGCCGCAGCTTGCCTCAGCCTCAGCCACTGCCTCAGCCTCAGCCTCAGCCTGCCTCAGCTTCAGCCTCAGCCTCAGCCTGCCTTGGCTTGCCTTTGCCTCAGCCTCAGCCTGCCTCGGCCTCAGCCTCAGCCTCAGCCTGCCTCAGCCTCAGCGTCAGCCTCGGAGCCTCGGCCTGCATCAGCCTCGGCCTCGGCCTCAGCCTGCCTCAGCCTCAGTCTCAGCCTGCCTCAGCCTCAGCCTGCCTCAGCCTCCTGAGCCTGCCTCCTCAGCCTCAGCCTGCCTCAGCCTCAGCCTCAGCCTCAGCCTGCCTCAGCCTCAGCCTCAGCCTCAGCCTGCCTCAGCCTCAGCCTGCCTCTCAGCCTCAGCCTGCCTCAGCCTCAGCCTCAGCCACTGCCTCAGCCTCAGCCTCAGCCTGCCTCAGCTCAGCCTCAGCCTCAGCCTCAGCCTCAGCCTGCCTCGGCCTCAGCCTCAGCCTCAGCCTGCCTCAGCCTCAGCGTCAGCCTCTCAGCCTCGGCCTGCATCAGCCTCAGCCTCAGCCTCAGCCTGCCTCAGCCTCAGTCTCAGCCTGCCTCAGCCTCGGCCTCAGCCTCAGCCTCAACTTCAGCCTGCCTCGGGTTCAGCCTGCGTCAGCCTCAGCCTCAGCCTCAGCCTGCCTCAGCCTTAGCCTGCCTCAGCCTCAGCCTCAGCCTGCCTTGGCGTGCCTCAGCCTCAGCCTCAGCCTGCCTCGGCCTCGGCCTCAGCCTGCCTCAGCTCGGGCATTCAAACTATGGAACATGACTAGTGTTCTCGGAACATGAAGATCACGAAGTGGCCTACAGTTGGCTCCCGGCAATCACAATCTGGTACAGGAATGGTGCTCCGGGAACACGAAGAACACGAAGTGGCCTACAGTTGGCTTCGTGCATTCAAAACGTGGCCTGGGAATGGTGTTCTGGGAACACGAAGAACACGAAGTGGCCTACAGTTGGCTCTGGGCATTCAAAATATGGCCTGGGAATTGTGTTCTGGGAACACGAAGAACACGAAGTGGCCTACAGTTGGCTCCGGGCATTCAAAATATGGCCTGGGAATTGTGTTCTGGGAGCACGAAGAACACGAAGTGGCTTACAGTTGGCTTCGGGCATTCAAAATGTGGCCTGGGAATTGTGTTCTGGGAACACGAAGAACACGAAGTGGCTTACAGTTGGCTTCGGGCATTCAAGATGTGGCCTGGGAATGGTGTTCTGGGAATGGATTCCTAAGGATTCCTGGGGCTGCCAGATCTGTCCGGTTTTGTCCGGATCCCGCCCAGACCCCCCTGGGGCGTCAAGATGTTTCTTTTTGAGACCACTGGAAACCTATCAGCAAAAGCTGTTTGGTAAAAATTATCCCAGCAAAGCAACCTAACAGCGATGTGTAGGACCATACTGTATCTGGAAGCATTCCCCTTAAGATTCAGATGAGAATCCAGTTGTAAAATTCTGATGTTCTCGCAGTCGCAGTCGCATTCGCGATGACAGTCGCAGTGGCAACGGCAGTCGCAGTCACAGCCTCAGCCTCAGCCTGCCTCAGCATCAGCCTGCCTCAGCCTCAGCCTCAGCCTCAGCCTGCTTCAGCCTCAGCCTCAATCTGCCTTCAGCCTCGGCCTCAGCCTCAGCCTGCCTCAGCCTCACCTGCATCAGCCTCAGCCTCAGCCTCAGCCTGCCTCAGCATCAGCTGCTCAGCCTCAGCCTCAGCCTCAGCCTCAGCCTGCCTCAGCCTGCTCAGCCTCAGCCTCAGTCTGCCTTCAGCCTCGGCCTCAGCCTCAGCCTCAGCTCAGCATCAGCCTGCCTCAGCCTCAGCCTCAGCCTGCCTGCCTTCAGCCTCAGCCTCAGCCTGCTTCAGCCTCAGCCTCAGCCTGCCTCAGCCTCAGCCTCATCAGCCTCAGCCTCAGCCTCAGCCTCAGCCTCAGCCTCAGCCTGCCTCAGCCTCAGCCTCAGCCTCAGCCTGCCTCAGCATCAGCCTGCCTCAGCCTCAGCCTCAGCCTCCTCAGCCTCAGCCTCAGCCTCAGCCTGCCTCAGCCTCAGCCTCAGCCTCAGCCTCAGCCTGCTTCAGCCTCAGCCTCAGTCTGCCTTCAGCCTCGGCCTCAGGCTGCCTCAGCCTCAGCCTCAGCCTGCAAAATGTGGCCCGGGAATGGAGTTCTGGGAACTCGAAGAACACGAAGTGGCCTACAGCTGGCTCCGGGCATTCAAAATCATTCCCAGGAATGGTTCTGGGAACTCGAAGAGCACGAAGTGGCCTACAGTTGGCGCCAGGCATTCAAAATCAAGCCCAGGAATGGAATTCTGGGAATTCGAAGACCACGGAGTGGCCTACAGTTGGCTCTGGGCATTCAAAATGTGGCCCGGGAATGGTGTTCTGGGAAGTCCAAGAGCACGAAGTGGCCTACAGTTGGCTCCGGGCATCCAAAACGTGGCCCGGGAATGGAGTTCTGGGAAGTCGAAGAGCACGAAGTGGCTTACAGTTGGCTCCGGGCATCCAAAATGTGGCCCGGGAATGGAGTTCTGGGAAGTCGAAGAGCACGAAGTGGCCTACAGTTGGCTCTGGGCATTCAAAATGTGGCCCGGGAATGGAGTTCTGGGAGGAGCACGAAGTGTGTTACTGTTTGCTTAAAACAGCCCGGCCCTGAGCCCGGCCCTCGCTGTCCGGATGCCGCCCAGACCTCCCTTCTGAGTCATCAGATGCTTTCTTTTGACAGCACTAGAAACCTATCAGTCTTCGCTGTTAGGTAATAATCAAATTACCTTGGCGAAGGACCCAACGATATGCAGCTGTGAGTACCGCTCTCGGCGGGACCCCTTATGGGGCCACGATCCTCGTGGGGTGTGTGCCGATATGGCTGGGGGGACGCATGCAAACCCTGCCGCTAGGGCCTTCGGTGGAGCTCATATGGGGCCACGATCCTCGTGAGAGGTGTGCAGAAATGGGGCGGAGCCGCCATGCGAACCCTGCCGCTGGCGCCTTCGGTGGAGCTCGTATGGGGCCGCGATCCTCGTGAGGGGTGCGCCGAAATGGGGCGGGGCCGCCATGCGAGGGGTGCGCCGAAATGGCCCGAGGCCGCCATGCGAACCCTGCCACTGGGGCTGTCGGGGGAAGTCCCTGTGGGGCCACGAAACGTTATACTGGGTGGGTGAAACGCTGGGAGGAGGGGGAGGGGGGAGGAGGGGGAGGAGGAGGGAGGAAGGAAGGAGGGAGGAGGAACGCTGGGACCGTCTCTTCAAAACGAGGACCCAACACCACAGGATGATTGGGACACATTGCCCGGGGACGATTGTTCTACAATTGTTGATGAGTGTTGATTATTTGTTTGTTTATTTTTGTTTGTTCGCCCCAAATCCGCCTGTAGGAGGACATGCCCGACCTCAGTTTAGAGGTTCCTTCATCCAATGCCCTCACTCTACGGTGGGGGCGTTGGTTAAGGATTGTGCCAAGGAGGCGCCAGACCCTGGAGGATTCCTTATCCACTGAGGGCGGCGGTGGTATCCATGGCCAAGCCTCGATTGGAGTTCCACTGGCCTCCAGACCCTGGATCCCTCATCTGAGGGTTTTCCTTACCCAGTGCCCTCGCCCCATGGACGATCCATGGGCGATCGGGGCCGCTGCATTGCCCCCCCGAGCGTGCGCCACCCCCGGAGAGCCCCAGAGGCCCTCGCCCCCCGGTGTTCGGGACGCTCTCGGCCCCCCCGGGAACGGCCTCGGCGAGGCGCAGCTTTCGGGGGCTCCCAAGCTGGGTGGTGACCACACCGTGTGGTGAGTCGGGGGGGATTCGGGGTCGCCACAGGGTTTTGGGACTCGAGTCCCTCTCCGAGGATGCCTCGGGCGGTAGGGGCCTCCAGGGTCCCAAGACCGTGCGTCACGGACCGTGCGGTGATTCTTGGGGGTTTCGAGGTCACCGCGCGCTCCGTCACCGCACCGTGTCGGGACCCCAAAGAGTTCTGAAGAGCATCCCGAGGCCGGCAAGCGGCCGAGAACCGACGGAACTCCCGAAAGCCTCTAACTTCGGTGTCCCCCCAGCGTGGACCCTGCGAGGAGAACAGGATCGGGCGGGAGTACATCAAGTGCATTTTCGTCGGCTACGACGCCACCTTCACAACGCGCGAGGACCGCAGCGAGGGCACGAAGGCGCAGCACCTCGGGGTCCTGGGGCCCATGCTCCACGCGGAGGAGGGGGACACCCTGGAGGTCGAGCTCAGGAACAAGTGCACGATCCCGGCGACCGAAGCATACCATATCCGCCTCGGATCTTTGAGAAAGGGCCCGCCAGGCAGCAGAGCGGAGGCAGGAGAGGACGCGGGAGGGGGCGAGGACGAGGAGGCCCCCTCCCCCAGAAGGCGAGCCGAGGGCGGCTCGCCGTGAGGGCCGCGGGCCACCCTCGGCGGTCCTCCCCGCCCTGCCGCCGAGCGCCGCGGCCCGCCCTTTCTCTTGGAGGTCCGACATTTGCTCGAAGTCGTGCCTGTCCCTCTACAGGGTGAATATCCAACAATAGGCCAGGACGTAACTTTGGGACGATTTCTATTTTTTCCGACCATGTGGGAATATTTTTCGACTATTCTTAATTTTCCTTTAAAATCCGCCTGTAGGGGGACATGCCTGACCTGACCATAGATCTGGGCCTCCCAAGTGGAGCTCGAACAGAGGGGGTCCGAGGATCGCGCCGCATCGACGATGCATCGGTGATGCGGCTCGATGTGGGGCCCGATCTCCTCCACGTCGACGTCGCCGATGCATCACCGGCGTCGCCGATGCATTGCCGATGCGGCGCGATCCTCTGACCGCTGACCCCATCTGCTCGGACCCCACTTGGGAGGTCTCTGATATCCCCCGTAGTTGCGGATAAGAGTGAGGGGGCGGGGGGGAGGATTGTCGGCCTGCTTGCGAGGCTCGAAGCAGATAGTGATATGGAGGCCGGCGCAGGTGCTGATTTTTCCGTCGGAGCAGCGTGGGTGGGTCGCGGGTGGTTTGCGGGTGCGTCGCCGGGTGGTTCGCGGGTGGGTCGCGAGGTGGGCCGCGGGGTGACACGTGGGTGGGTCGCGGAAAGTCGCGGGGGGGCCGACGACAACAACAATAATCATTTTGTTATTGTTCGCTCCTATCTTATCGAGTGTCCGTTCACGCGTATTTCCCAAACCCTCGATAACTTCCCTATTCGTCTTCGATCGTGCCCCTTTTGGGGGGTATACGTATACCTTTCTTCCCTGCAGGCCGGGCCCCAGCAAGCGGCGGGGCGACCGCGGACCGTCGGCCTGGCCAGCGGCAGCGCAGATCGGCGGCAACCCGAACCCAAGAGGGACAGACAAGGGACCGACAACGACGACGACGACGACGACGACGACGACGGCGACGGCGACGACGACGACGAGCGAAAGCGAGGGCGAGGGAGAGAATGACAGCAGGACCACGAAGGGCACGAAGTAGGCCACGAAGGGTGACAGCGGTGGTCACGAAGAGCGCGAGCGAGCGGGGGCCACGAAGGGCAGATGCTGCGGGGCCACAGAAGGCAACGACGGGGCCACGGAGGGTAGCAAATGGGCCACGAAGGACAGCGAGGGGGCCACAAAGGGCGACAGCGGGGCCACGAAAGGCATGCACCTGGGGCCACGACGGGCGCGAACGAGCGGGGGCCACAAAAACCCTAAGTATATTGGGCCGCGGAGGGCAATGACGGGGCCACCGAGGGCAACAACGGGGCCGCATAGGGCAGCGAAGGGGGCCACGAAGGGCGACAGCGGTACCACGAAGGGCATGCATATGGGGCCACGACGGGCGCGAACGAGCGGGGGCCACGAAGGGCACGCATATATGGGGCCACGTAGGGCTGCAACGAAGCCACGAAGGGCAGCGAGGGGGCCACGAGGGGCTGCAACGGGGCCACGAAGGGCAGCGAGGGGGCCACGGGGGGCTGCGAGGGGGCCACTAAGGGCAGCGAGGGGGCCACGAAGGACAGCGAGGGGGCCACGAAGAGCAGGGAGGGGGCCACGAAGGGGCTGCGATGGGGCCACGGAGGGCAGCGAGGGGACCACGAAGAGCTGCGAGGGGACCACGAAGGACAGCGAGGGGGCCACGACGGGCTGCAACGGAGCCACGGAGGGGGGGCGAGGGGACCACGAATGGCTGCAACGGGGCCACGAAGGGCAGCGAGGGGGCCACGAAGGGCTGCAACGCGTCCACGCAGGGCAACGGGAGGGCCGCGAAGGGCTGCAACGGGTCCACGAAGGGCAGCGAGGAGGCCACGAAGGGTTGCAAAGGGGTCACGAAGGGCAGCGAGATCCCGATTCCTTCGTAATCTTTGAGGAAATCATAATCGTGAACGCAACTCCTGGGTGAGTGCGGCGCCTGAATAAGTTGCGTGAAATTCCAAAGCAAGGGCGCGATTCTTGAGTAAGTTGCAAGCAAGTCTTCAGCGAGAGCGCGACTCCAGAGCACCGAGAGAGCGATTCCTGAATACATTCATCGTCTGAACAAATTGCAAGGAAGTCCCACGCGAGAGCGAGATGCGTACATGAATCGTGGGGAAGTCCCGCGCGAGAGCGCGATGTGGGAATCAATTGTGAGGAAATATCAGGCAGGAGCCGTTGTTGTTGTAATCAGGGGGCCGCGAGCTTAGTTTGAGCTTGGTGACTTTCCCTGATCAAAAGCAGGGTGCGAGCCCTGGGGGAAGCACATCAATTGAAAAACACAAGGGTCACCGGAGGGGGGATCGACAATCATTATTTTTCAGTAGTGAGAGTTTATCAACGACGACGACGGCAACAACAACAGCACAACAGCAACAGTAATAGCAACAACATCAACATCAACAACAACAACAACAACAAGGGCACGCACATGTACAACAACAACACCATCAACACCACCACCAACAACAGCAACAACAACAACAGCGACAACAACAGCAACGACTCTCATGTTCAAACTGTTCGCCCGGATGTGCTCGCGTACCGTTCAACACGTATATCCCAAACCCTCGGTACCCGTCCTCTTCGTCTTCGATCGTACCCCCTCAGGGGTATATCTGTCTGGCCTGCAAAGTGTATTTCGTGCAGCCCCTAAGGCAGGGGAAGGGACGACGGATGGAAGGATGGGACAAGGGGGAGGGAGGAGGATGGAGCACGAGAGGGAGTAGCAGGAGGAGGGCTAGGGGCTAGGAGCAGAAACGGGCGGACAGGCCTATCGGGCGGGTCGGGAAGGCGAACCCAGGCGGCCAGGTCGAGCAGGCGGGTTGCTGAAGCGTGCGTCCTGCATGAATCGCGAGGCAGTCTCGAGCGATAGCTCGATTCCCAAGTACATCGTCAGGAATTCCACAGCCAGAGCTTGATTCCTGAGTGTCAAGGGCGCGGCATTTAAATCAATTGCGGGGAAGTCTCGGCCGAGAACGCGATCCCTGCATACATTGTGAGGAAGTTCCGCGCGAGAGCGCCATTTTGCAATACATCGTAAGGAAGTCTCAGGCGGGAGCCGTTGTTGTGATAGTTCGGGGCCCAGTCAATATGTTTGGTGACACCCAGCTTTCTTTTGTAAAACCAGGGTGCGGAACCCAGGATCCGCATTTTACTTAAAAATACAATGGCTACCCGGGGGGATCACCACATGTTCTTCAATTGAGGGTTCAAGACAAACAGCAGCACCAACGAGAACGACACCAACGACAGCAACATCAACAACAGTAGCTACAACACTCTGTTTACAACTGTTCGCTCTTATCTGCTCGCGTGCCACTCGACACGTATATCCCGAACCCTCGATACCCGCCCTTTTCGTCTTCGACCAAACATTTTTAGAGGTACATCTGTATTGCTTGCAACGTGTATGTCGTGCAGCCCTGAAGGCAAGGGACGAGAGAACGGATGGAAGGACGGGACACGGGGGAGGGAGGATGATGGAGCACGCGAGCAATTAGCAGGAGGGGGGCTAGGAGCAGAAAACACGTGGCAAAACCAGACGGGCAAACCGGGCGGGTAGACCCCAACGGGCGGGTCGGGAAGGCGGGCCCAGGCGGCCAGGTCGAGCAGGCGGGTTGCTGAAGTGTGCGTCCTGTATGAACACGAGAAAGTTTCCACCGATAGCGCAATTCCCAAAGAACTCGTCGGGGAATCCACAAAAACAAGGGCCCACGCCTGATATTTCCTCACGATCGATTGGCAATCGCTCTCTCGCGCTGGATTCTCGAACGCTGTATGCGGGAATCATGCGCTCGAGTGGGACTTCCGTTGGAACTATGCAAACCCCGCGCACTCGACGCTCAGGGATCGCGTTGTCGCTTTGGTTCTCTCGCGATGCACTTGGGAATCGCACTGCCGCTCGAAAGTTTTTCGCGATGCATACAATATTATTGACGCTTCAGGAACCCGCCTGCTCGACCTGGCCACCTGGGCCGCCTTCCCGACCCGCCTTCTCGATCTACCCGCTTCAGCCCGTCCGGTTGTGCCACGTGTTTTTTTGTTTCTGGCCCCACGGTTGCTAATCCCGTGCCCCATCTTTTCCCTTTTCGTGCCCATCCGTCCTCTCTTCCCCTGTTTGATGGGTTGCACCAAGTTCACGCGGCAGGTAAGGAAGATATACCCTAGAGGGGGTACGATCGAAGGCGGGTACCGAGGGTTTGGGATACACATGTCGAATGGCGCCCGAACAGTAAGTGCGAACAGTCTTAAATTGATTGCCATTGGTGTTGAGCCCTACCTATTTAAGAATACGTACTGTTGATCCCCCCCCGCGGCGCACAGTGTATTTATTCAATTGGCGTGCCCCTCCCGGGTGTCGCACCTTGTTCTTTAGTATGGAAAGTCGTGATGTCCAAATTGTGTCCTTAGCTCCCGAACTACAACGACAACGGCTCCCGCCTGATATTTCCTCACAATGTATTGCCCCCCCCTACGCTCCCGCTTGATCCTTCCTCGCGGTTTACTCAAGAATCGCGCTCTCGCCCACGATTGCCGTGCAAAGTACTACGGCGGCGCGCTGTCGCCAGTCAGGAATTGCGCTCTCGCCCGAGATTGCCGTGCAAAGTACTGAAGCGCCGCGCTGTCGCCATTCTGGAGCTGCGCTCTCGCATTCGATTCCCTTCTCGTTTGCTTGGGAATCGCGTTCTCGCCCGAGACGTCCGGACGAACTGTGCAGGACGCACACGTTCGCGACCCGCCCGTCAGGGCCCGCGCGCCCGGCCCGCCTCGGAGGAGGAGGAGGAGGAGGAGGAGGAGGAGGAGGAGGAGGAGGGG